AGGCTATTTGGCTACTTGTATCATGAGAACAAAACTAAAGAGCAGAGTTTGAACTTAACAGGCTTAGAGGGTATTTCCTGTATAGTCCTGGATATGTGGCACACAAGTAAGCTTCAGAGCAGTATTAAAGGATTAGGTTTTGACTTTAGACTGGGATAAACTAGTATTTAATGGGTACAATGATTTCTGTGCTGCTGGCAAACAGAGAGGAATGCTGCCTGGAGGAAAGGAATCCCAGGTTCTGCAATAGGAATAGATGAATATTTGAGTCTCGGAAGAAAGGTTTTTGAGGTTTGATCTTGTCCACACCCCACATTTACAGAGAGGCGTTTTCCAATCAGTACAACTGGATAATGAGTAAGAGCTGTAACCCTGGCTGAATTTTCCTTTTCTAGTGCAATAAGCCTTCAGAGGAGTCTGTTTAACTTTTGAAACGTTCTATAAACTAATGGCAATACTTGACAGTCATTATTCATTTTAAATAATGGTAACACGTGAAAATGCAATAATTCTGCACTCTGGAGACCAGATGTGCCCAACATTGAACACAGAGAAAAAAATCACTGTTGAGGTAAACTGGAACCAAATTTATTTTCCAGTTATTATTGACTGTTTGTCCTCTTTAGAAATATTGCTTATTGATACCGAGTCTAATAATCTATGCCTTCAGGTGAAATATTATTTAATTGATCACTGTAGGTTTGGGCCGCTCAGCAGGATATCGACTAAAAGGTATCTTGTTGTATGATCAGTGGGCACAACCAGCAAACTCAATATCCTCTTGATCGGAAACCTTTCTCAGTGTGGAGCAAAGCTTCCACTTGCAATTTCCTCCACTAAGTATTAAGATGATTCAAGAGGCAGCCTTTTGTAAATGGAACTTTGTCCAGTATCAAGCACTGTTAAACCTGTGACTATTTATATCAGCAAAGGTAAATTTTGTAACAAAGGTCTGATTTATTGAATGCATCGTCACGTGAAGTTTGTGAGCTGTTCAGAGATTTGTTTTGCCTCATAATTACGAGAATTCTGAAGTACAGTTGGAAATGTCTTTGGTTGATTTCTGAGGAGTTGTCTGTGGGGTTCGCCTGGCACACGATCGAATCCACGGATTTGATTAAATGCTTAAAACCTTTTGAAATTACAAAATTCTCACAGGATTAATGGTGGTCCCATTCTAATGTCAGATTGTCATTTGCTGAATTATTATTGTATTAATTCGACCACTTTTGTTTTAGAGAAACTAATCAGTTGATTCCATGGTCTTTGAATACATAAAAACGTTGTTTGTTCACATGGTGAGCCTGACATCCTGGAAATGAGCCAATGTGGGAAGCTGTGACTAACCTATCCTGGTCCTGTTACTCTTGTTGCTCCACAAATCCACAAAGTTTATTTCTGCAGCTACCCATATTCCTGACATTGAGATGTACGGAACTGTTTGGATTGAGAATTAAGGGTGTTACATTACAAATTTTTGCAGTGAATTTTTTTTAAACAAATGACTATAGAATGCTATTGAGGATTACTAATTTGACTGGATTTTTGCAGGACTGTCTTTTAAGAGTTATTGATTTTTGTTCACAGTTATGAATTAATGTGTCAAATATTTATCCTTTAAATAAAAATATCTTTACATCTGCTGGACCTCTCATTTGGTGTAATGCTGACTCATAACAGTCAGCTCGTAATCATTCAGTCTCTTGGGCGGAACATAGAAAGGGTGCCCCTTGTTATCTCAACAGCCTGACGAGTCTGAATAAAAGTGACCACGAGACCAATTCAAGCCACATGAGCACCAAATATTGTCAATTAAATGCACCAAACTATTTGCCTGTGCAATATGTGTCTTGCTGACATGGTTGCATCCAACCTGTCGAAAGATGACTTTCAGCAACATTTCTGTATCAGTAATAGCAATGAGAACAACAAAGTGATCTGTTAATAGTGGAGCTTTCTGTCTGCTTTGAAAAAAATACTTCCTCTTTCACTTAGTGTGTTCTGTCTGACGGTCATATATCAGACACATGCCATGTTGGGTTTGAAGAAAGTTGTGAATTTGATACGGAAGATTTTCATTTTTATTTTACTTATTGAAAGGGAGAAGACAACTGTATTAACTCTGAATTACAATATTACTTTGTATTTCAAATAACCAAAAGGCAGGAAGTCACTGGGCTTTGGCTGGACTGTTGTCAGGGCAAGTTTAACAACGACAAAAAAATTACATTGGTAATTGGCTTTAGGAGGATGTCCCAAGTCAGAGTTTCAGACCCGAGCTGAGTGTCGGGATTGGGAAGGGTGGAGGGCAGGGGGGAAAGCAGGGTGATCGAAAGTGCGGTCGAAGAGGAGAGTCTTGAGATGGGTCTTGAAGGAGGGAAGCGAGGGGGCAAGGGGGAAGAACTGCGGGATGGAGTTCCAGAGGGTGGGGGCAGAGTGGCAATGGTGTGGATGAGTTCTGGATGATCTGCAGTCTATGGAAGGAGGAGCTGGGGAGGCCGATGAGCAAAGAGTTTGCATAGTCAAGCCTTGATGTAATGAAAACGTGTGTGAGGGTTTTGGCGGCCTGTGGTGGGAGACAGTTGCAGAGCCAGGCGACATTGCGGAGGAGCGGGTCATGGCACAGATGTGGGTTAGAAAGGATATGTTGAGGGTCAAACAAGATGCCAAGGTTCCGGACTGGCTTAGTAAGGTGGAGTGTGCATCCACGGATGGTGATGCTGTCAGCACTAATTAAAAGATAGCTCCATCATGTGATTGAGTCCTCCTCAATTTTGTTTCCATGAAAACAAGTTTAGCTCTGCTGCTTCTCACAACTGAGTCCTAACTCCCAGAATCATCCTAGTTGTTCTTATTCCAGCCCTTTACAGTGCCTCAAATTCCTTTTGAAAGTACAAAGCACAATATTTAAAATGTGGCTTCCTCTGCTAGGTTAGAATAACACTGCCAGTTGACTCCCAAAAACCCTTGAGATGCAACGAAATATTTTATCTTTGTTGAATTTTGAGAATGCAAGTACGTTATATCTGCTTGTTAGACCTCATTCACTAATTTAATCACTTCCTCACAGAATTTCAGTAGATGCATGTGGCATAAGCTATTGTTTCTAAATCCTTTTGACTCCATCTGTGCTCTTCAGATGAAAACAGATATAGCTCTAAATTTTACCTGCAACAGATGTTAGGCTCACTGTTCTATCAATACTAAACTCAAGTCTCACTTGTTATATGAATGCTGAGATCATATTTGCCATCTTCCAGTCCTTGGGGACAGGGTCAGTGTTTATGAAACACCTAAAAATGTTAACCAGAGTCTTGTCTATTTCCTCTCAGGTTTGGTACAGTTGCCCAGGAGACATTAAATTCTTTGCATTTCATAATAACATACTTTATACTGAACATCTATATCTGACAAAAATCCCAGAGTCAAAATATCTCAATTCCAAATGTAATAACTTGACTCGCACATTTGTGCAACTCTTTCTAACTTCCCCCTAAGATGGCACAACTGATGCTTAACACACTATCTCATGTTAGCACAGCTTAACATGTCTTTGGATTTCTCTTGCAGTCTTACTTTTTTTTAAGGTAACCTCAACTGCCTTTTGTAATGCTGCCAGTTGTCACTACCCTTTGTTTCTTTGTAGCTTGCAAATGATTTTTTTCTTATTTCTCTTAAAATGGTACTAAATAATTTCATTTTCCTCATTTTCCTGCTCCCCTTTCCACTTAATTCTTCCTGGAGCTCTATCCTAGCTCTGAAGTTTGTATTTGACTATTATTATTGGTTTGTTTTTAACATTATACAATATCCTATTTAACTGTACACTGATCACTGAAGAATGCCCATGATTGCCAACAAGCTTCCATCTTGTGCTGTTTGCAAAATACCTACGGTTGTGAGGTTCTGATTCTGTCAGCGCAGCTGCACTTACACTTTTTTTTCCTGAAAACTGGCAAATACGTTTGTACTTTATTCATATTTCCACATTGGCAGTGTGTCGATTTAAACTGCTGAATTCTGGCTTCTGGGATGCTTTTTTTTGAAGCGCTTTATTGCTTTGTTCATTAAATGGTGATTAATGGGAGCAGACTTAGTTCGAGGGCTCTGTAGATGTGCAGGAATATTGATTGTGTAAAAACCAATGGAAAAATGAGCCAGTGCCTCAAAACCGGTTAATGGGAGTTGAAAGCATCGGCTTGCTGCAAATCTGAATTTAAGTTTATGAATCATCTTGTCACGACCAGCAAGTGATTTTGTAACCGTACCAATGTGAAGCAACCTTTTGGCGGTGGTGGGTTTCAGCGTAGATCAGATACCCACGAAAAAGGCACAGGCTTAGCGGAAAAACATTGTGTATCATTTCCATCGGGGTTATATAAATTGCAAGTGATGCTGTGATATAACATTAAGCTCTATACCTTGTAAAAAAAATATTTTTTTATTAATGCCGTTTTTAAGACCGTGCCTTTTAAAGAGCAAGTGTAAACCTGGTTGCCCTGAATTACTCCACACTGAGCCTGTTGATTGCTCAGGCAATGATGTGCTGATGCATTTCTCAGTTACTTCAGATAATGATGATAACCTCTGAAATTGCTGTGACTGTTGAAACTCCATCCAAAAGTCCTTCTGATTTGCCCCCTCCTTCCCCACTTTCAAAGCCTGTCTCAAGCCTTGCCTTTTTGACAATTCTTTCCCCTCATCACCCTCTTCAGCTTTCACTCTTCTCCCCCTCCCCCCCCCACCACCAAGTTGGGGTACCCCAGCCAGCAGTGTTAAGCACTTTGAGACGTTCTCTTTACATGAAAGACGCTATATAAACTGTACTGGATGAACTGTGGATGTAAAAAATCTATTTTGTGGCCAGTTCGAGGGAGGAGGATGGTGGGGGAGCACATGTGACAATGGGTTTGGCTTAGTTTAACTGGAGGTCTGCTGTTTGCTGAGCAGTTCAATCTTCTGCCACCATTAATGCACTCTGCCTTTTTTTATTCCTGCAGAGATAGAGCGACGTGTCTCAAGGGAGGCGTCTGAGTTCTCTGCAACTGAACGTATCCCAGGAATAAAAGGTAAAGCTCATTCTCGGAGGGAAGCTCTCAGTAAAACTTGGGCGGGTTCTGTATTTTTTTTCAACTGAATTAACAATGTTCTTCAGTCTCCCTGGAACTGGTGTTAATGACTGAAGGTGCAGTTTCCATTTATGGACTTTTTAGTAGGCTTATTTTGGAAAAAAAAAGCAATGGAACTCTGACGGCTATAAAAACCTGAATGCATTGTAGCTGCAGTGTTTGCTGTGAAATGTTATCTCAAATACAAGTTGGAGTTAAAGTACATGATCGTAAATGATGCCGTATATACTTTCTACTGCAGTTCCTTGTTTCTCTTCATGAGCCCAGATCCCTGCTGTGCTACCTGGGGGAGTGGGGTGAGTGGAACCCATCAATAGAAAAAGTAAGGAGAACTTGTCACCTCACCTCCTTGCTTTCATACACTTAAAGGTTATTTCACAGTACAGAGTGATGTATGATGTGGGGAAGGGAGGGTCGAAAACATAAAGGCAATGTTTGTGCTTATCTCCACCTAGCGACGAATTGTATGAAGTATAACGACTGATGTGATCCTGGTGTCTTCTTGGACTGGAACCCTGTACGTTAGTACTATGAAGCCATATCTCGCAACCTAAATGCAACGGATGTGAACAATGTCGCATTCAAGAACTGTGTTCTCTCTTGACGCTGACCTCTTCCGTGGCAACATGAACATTTTCATTGCAGGCAGCGTGGGGACGTGAACTGCAACTTCCAACATCTGTTTAGTTTTTCTTTATCAGCTGCGTGTGCGTGATTAAAAGTTGTTTAACTTTCCTTCTCATAAATGATAACAATGTCAAACAACTTCCATTTATATATGAGCCTGCACCTTGAATAAAACCTCGGAATGCTTTGCAGTGCCGGGGTTGAACACTGAGTGAGGGAGGAGGGGGAGATGAGCATTGGTGCAGTTGAAGAGGAAGGTTTTAAGGTGGAATTTAAAGATGGAGAGAAAAGGGGTGAGGCGGAGGGATAGAGGCAGGGTGTATCCTGGTTTAGGGGTGTTGTGACTGAAGGTTCAAAAAAACACGATAAGGGGGACAAAAAACAGTACAAAGGGACCAGGTGGTTGTGTTTTTTTTAATTAATGAGATTGACATTCGGGCCTGATAGAAAAAGGGATATTGCAGCTTAAATTGTTATTAATTTTCAGAACACTCCATGTTTCTGCAAGATTAAGGGGTGAGTTTGGATTTGAGCCATCTCTTCTTTAAAACTCTTAAATTGTGGCATTTGGTAACATTTTACAAGAGGCTTTAGCAGGGACAAAATGCAGCGAATTGATTCTGAAGATGCTTAATAGGCTTTTGCTGTCTCGGTTGGAGTGGTTGATGCAATAACAATAATAGGTTAGAACAGCTTAAGCCGTTAGACACACACGCACAGAGTGTATATAGAGTGCAGCCCTCAGAGCTGAACCTGAATGGGTCAAATGAGTCAAAGGTGCCAGCAGAAAATTGGAGTCAGCTGGGATATCTCTAACAACGGATGCTTGACACTTTGAAAAGTGGGCTCTTTGTGCACTCTGAAAGCTTTTCTGGAAGTCTTTGCGAGGGCCCTCTCCAAAGATCCTGAATTAGTAAGTAACTATAGAATGTGTAACAGTGCACACTGCCAATTTTGGTGGGGGGGGCGGGAGCTAAAGAGAGGGCATGGTATAATAGTACTTTTCAGGGCTGGACACATACGAGAATCAGAGGGTGCTGTTACAAATAGGAAGGGTAAAATTAAGATCTCAGACAGTAAAATATTCAGACAGTCAACAAAATTTACATTACATGCCTCCTGTGCATGATCAGAATGCAACCACAAAGCAGTTTTCATGTGTATCATTTGTTCTCTATAGCTTACTGGAACCACACCAACTCAATGAAGTTTGCTGGTACTTTCCAATGCCTCTCTGTGGGGATTTTGCCAGACTTAATCTGAGTTGCATGTTTGAGTATAAACATGTAGTTTATACGTTAAACCTGGATAGTAACATTGCATTCACATCTGGAGAAGGTACAGCTGTAGTGTGTGTGCGCGTGTGTGTTTGCATGTGTGTTTGATTTTGTGAGTGTGTGGTGCACATTCTAAAGTTGTACTGCCATTGATGCTTGGTGAGTTTCCGACTTTTTCCTCTTTTCCATTGGTACCACCAGCAATCCTTAGCCAATGGCGGAACAGGCTCAATGGGCTGAATCGCCTACTCCTGTTCCTATGCTTCTATGGTTGTGTATCCACACACTTGATACAGAAGCAGCTTAGAGTAAGCGATCCTCCAGATTTTTTTCTCTCCTTGGAGGAAAGCAGTTAACATCTGCTCAGGGTTTCATTTCTTGACTGTAAAAGCCAAGATCAGAAGCTTGGCAAACGGGAACAAGGCCCGGTATTTTATCACTGTAATTTGGTACAGTCACTTCATCCAACTGGACAGTCCAGACACAACTTCACTCGCTCTGATGATCTTTGTCGGATTAAATTTGTGCTGGTGAAACAGCGCAATTGTAAATCAATGATCCCGTGAGGGGGATTGAGATTCAGTGTACAAGCAGGTTATTTTACTTGGATTTTTAAGCTCAATACTGGAAGCTGGTAATGTGCATTCCATTTCAGATGTGGGGAAAATTCCCTGCAGCGGTGACCAATATAGGACGAATAAGGCAAAGAAAAAAAGGTCTTCTGTTTAATTTACGATTTTCACAAAAGCTTCCCTAGTTTGAATTTACCCTGTGACGCGTAATGTTTTCGATAATCTGTGTAATGTGCAATAATCTGTGGGCTTGATGGACTAAGTACCTCTTTCTAATTCTTAATTAGACCTTAATTCTAGGAGCAGGAGTAGGCCATTTGGCCCGTCGAGCCTGCCCCGCCTTTCGATAAGGTCATGGCTGATCTTCAGACTTAACTCTAATTACCTGCCCTATCCCCATATCCCCTCAACCCTCTTTTTAAAAAATCTATCAGTCTCAGCCTTGAAGATGTTCAAGGACTGAGCATCTACAGCCTTCTGGGGTAGTGAATTCCATAAATTCACTACCCCAGAAGGCTGTAGATGCTCAGTCCTTGAACATCTTCAAGGAGAATTCCATAAATTCACTATCCTCTGAGTGAAAAAATGTTTCCTCAACTCTGTTCTAAAACTCTTCATTTTAAGACTGTGACCCCTGGTTATAGATTCTCCTACCAGGGGAAACAGACCCTCAGTGTCTACTTTATCCAGCCCTTTATGAATTTTATATGGTTCAATAAGATCTAATTCTTCTGTACTCTCGAGAATATAGCCCTAGTTTATTCAGCCTATCCTCACAGGTCAGTCCCCTCATCCCAGGAAATAATCTAGTGAATCTACGCTGCACCCCCTCTAGGGCAAGTATGTCCTTTTTTAAATAAGGAGACCAAAACTGCACACAGTACTCTAGGTGCGGTCTCACCGAGGCCCTATACAGTTGCAGCAAGACTTCCCTACTCTTGTACTCTAAACCTTTTGCAATGAACGTTAACATGCCGTTCGCCTTCTTAGTTGATTGCTGCACTTGCAAACTAACATTTTGAGACTGGTGTACAAGGACACCCAAATCCCTCTGAACATTAACACTATCTAATCTCTCCCCTTCTAGAAAATAATCTGTTTTTCTATTTTTTCTACCTAGGTGAATAACTTCACACTTTCCCACATTATATTCCATCTGCCACCTACTTGCCCACTCCCCGAGGCTATCTATATCCCATTGCAATCTTTTTACATCATCCTCAGAGCTTACTCTCCCACCTAGTTTAGTGTCATCCGCGAATTTAGATACGTTACATTCAATGTTCTCGTCTAGATCATTGATGTAAATTGTAAATAGCTGAGGCCCAAGCACTGATCCTTGTGGCACTCCACTAGTCACATCCTGCCAATTCGAGAATGACCCATTTATCCCTACTCTCTGTTTTCTACCCGTTAGCCACTCTTCAATCCATGCTAATATGTTCCCATTAATCCCGTGGGCCTTAACCTTGTGCAATAGCCTTTTGTGTGGCACTTTGTCAAATGCCTTTTTAAAATCTAAATATACTACATCTACTGGTTCCCCCCTATCTAACCTGCTAGATACATCTTCAAAAAACTCTAAAAGATTAGTTAAGCATGACTTCCCTTTTGTAAAGCCATGTTGACTCTGCCTAATCTTGTTATGGTCTTCCAGGAATCCCATAACGACATCTTTAATTAAGGACTCAAGAATTTTCCCTACCACTGATGTCAGACTAACTGGTCTATAGTTCCCCATCTTTTCTCTCCCACCCTTCTTAAATAGTGGTGTTACGTTTGCAATCTTCCAATCAATGGGAACCGTTCCAGAATCCAGAGAATTTTGGAAGATCAAAGACAAGCCATCCACTATCTCAGTAGCCACCTCTTTTAAAACCCTAGGATGTAGGCCATCAGGTCCAGGAGATTTATCAGTTTTAAGACCTGACAATTTACCTAAAACCATTTCTTTACTAATATTAATTCCCCCAAGTTGCTCGCTAACATTGTCTTCTTGGTTCCCCTCTATTCTTGGTAGGTTTTCAGTGTCTTCTAAGGTGAAAACAGTAGCAAAGTACTTGTTCAATGACTCTGCCATGTCTTTGTCCCCTACTATAATTCCCCCCGTCTCTGCCTGTAGGGGACCCACATTTATCTTTGACAGCCTCTTCCTCTTTATATTAATCAAAACTCTTGCAGTCTGTATTTACGTTCTTCGCTAGTTTGCCCTCATATTCCATTTTCTCCCTCTTAATCACTTTTTTGGTTCTCCTTTGTTGATCCCTAAAGTTCTCCCAATCCTCGGGTTTACTACTCATCTTAGCTGTTCTATATGCTTCTTCCTTTAACTTTATACTTTCCCTAACTACTCTAGTTAGCCACGGTTGGGCCACCTTTCCCGTGGCATTCTTATTCCTCAAAGGAATACGTGCTGCCCCTTGTTGTTACGTACCTCTACCCATACTGACTCCACTTCCTGCTT